ATATCTTTATTATTATTATTATTATCAATAAACACATTATTATACCTCTAAATCAATCGAGTCACTTTGCTTTTAGTTTTATCGTGAATACACTACCGTGTAAATTATAAATCTTGAGTTAAATTAAATTGAGTCACTACGTAAACTTAAAAGAATCACTACTCGAACACCCCGTCTAACTGTCGCAATTCACAAGGATTGCACGTTAACAATATGTTATTAAATAAATCTTTTAAAATCAAAGGTAATTAATTTATTAAATAATTAAAAAATGTATCAAGTTAACCTTTAATTTTTTAAATTAAGTAAAAAATTTTTATAATAACTGGATAAATAAACTATTAAAGATTATATACTATCTGCAAAAATCAAAAACTATCTTACTCACTATAATAAAATGGGTAAAAGAAGGTTAGAATACTATTAATATTAATATAATTAGGCAATCGTTTAAGTATTGTGACATTTTAAATGTTATAAATAGAACTAAAGATACTATAATTTTAATTTTAATTAATTAGAAATTAGTTAGAAAATAAGGTAATAAAATAAAATCTTGAAAGTGAAGTTAGAGATGAAGGAGATAAAATGATTTAGAAGATAGTAATAAAATAATTCAGATTACTATAATAAAAGTAAATCAGAAAAAATAGGAAATGGAAAGTTCGAGTCTAAAATTTTAGAACTTAGTCTTTGATCTCAATTTTAGTAAAACCTAGTTTTAATTTTTAAGGCTTAATATAAACAATCACAATTTGATCTTTATATATTATTTTAATAAATAATATAAATTAAAGTTTAATTTTGAGATCATTGTATATTACAATTTAATTATTATCATATGATATATAAATTAATTAAATTTTAGTTAAATATTATATATCGCATTTACTTATCATTAAAATTTTATTTTTCATTTTAAAATTTTTAGCAAAAATGTTTTATTTGAATGAAGATTTTGAAATTTTGAAAATTTTGACGATTTTGAAGATTTTGAAGATTTTGAAGATTTTGATAATATTAATGAACTTGAATCTTTACTTTTTAGAGAAGTTGAAAAAATAATAATAATAATAATGATAGTGAAGATAAAAGCTCATCTCAATCTTATTGAATTTACTAATATGAAAAAATTTTAATGAACAAACAATTTAACATTCAGGAAGTTCAGTTTGTTACAAATATCAACCTATTTTTAAAAAAAAAAACTGGTATTTTAACTTTAAAATGATACTAGAATCTGTATATAAAATAAAGATAGAAAAAGTTAAAAAAAATTTAAGGAAGAATCAAAGCACTTTAAATTTCAGACGAACTAATCTTTGACTTAAAAAGAAAAAAAATAGAAAGAGATATTACAATAGTAAAGTAGGTAATTAGAAATATACAACCTTTTCGTTCATTTAAAAATTTGTAATTTAAAATTATGATCAATAAATTTGATTCAAAATATCAAATTCTAAATGAAAAAATACTAAAAACTTTAGTAATTGGTTATTTTAAAGAAAAATAAAAAAATATTCAAGAAGATTTAAATGCTATTACAGGTAAAATATCTTTAACAGTAGACATGTAAACTTCTATATATAATAATAATGTATTTTTTAGTTTATCAATTTATTATATCGACAATAATTAAAACCTAAAAAATTTTTATTAGATATTATTTTATTTACTATTTAACATATTGAAATTAATATAGCAAATAAAATAAAATCAGTTTTAACAGAATTTAATTTACTTGAAAAAACTTTAGCTTTAACTACTGATAATAAAGCAGCTACAGTCAGACCCCTATATAATCACTGAGTTGGTTTCATTAAATTTAGTAATTGTATAGAGGTATGACTATATAATAAAACCTTTATATAATCACTTCTATATCATAAATCATGTGAAGTGACTATATAGAGGTTAATAGTTTAATTAGATAGTATAACATATTAAAATAAAGCATATAAAATTTGATTTTATTAAGAATTTGAAAAATTTATACAATTATCCATTTCTCTAATATCTAATTGCTAAAAAAATCAGTTATTGAAGTTTGCTTTCTAGCTTGCAATTCAAGTTGTCGTACTATATTTAGATATTTTTTAAAAATATCTAAATCTTCTGTTTTAAATTCATTTGTTGTTTGTTGTTCAAAAAAAGTTATCCAATTCTGTAAAGATTTAATTGTATCAACGAAAGATACGGTACCAGTTTATTAAAATCCTCTTCAGAATCATTATTTTCATCATCATCTACCTCCCCTTGAACCAATCTTATGATTTCATCATCATTTAAGAGATCCTTGGTTGGAATTTCTTTTTCTAAATCTTGAAAGAAATCATCAATTGCATTTTTTAATGGAGAAGCATAAGGGTCATTGAATTCATCAATCATTTGATTAATTCTTTTTATTTTCAAGTCCATTGTTTCTTGATGAATCCGTATTGCATTATCTATATCTTCATTAGCTGAAGAAGGCAATATTCTGATTTTATTCCAACAATTACGAATTGTTTCTTCAGTTACATTATATCACACATTTGCTAAGTACTCAATAACTTCTTTGATATCAATTTTCTCTTTATTGATATCTTTATCTTCTTCAAAAAGTTGCAACATATAACGATAATAATATCATTTATAGTGACTTTTAAAATTTGCAATAATCCTAGCATCTAAAGGTTGAAGGTGGCTTGTAGTATTTGGTGACAAAAAGGCTACTTCAACATGTGTAAGTTGAAGTTAATGAGTATCTGGTAGAGTACTCCTTGATCTTGAAACTTAATTTCCTATAGAAATATTAATTCAGTAAGTTTCTGAGTTTATTTTTAAATTTTTTAAAAAAAAATCAAATTTAACTTATTGCGTCCTCTTGAAGTAGAACCCGAAGTAGAGCTCGAAATAAAACCTGAATCTGGAGTAAAACCCAAACTTGAAGTAGAACCTGAGCCCAAAATATTATCATTATTTTACAAACGGTAATTTGGATCGAAATGTGATGGGACATTATCAATTAAGAGCAAAATCTTTTTATTTTGTATTCTATTGCTCTCTATTTATATTAAATTAATACATAGATGGATATAACAAATAAATCAAATATATCTAATATGTCCGATATGTCCAAGATATCAATTATATCAAATATGTCCAGTATATCAAATATATCAAATATGTCTGACATTTAGATCTGCAATATGCTGCGTCACGTTCATCAATCCAATCCTGTTACAATATCAAGTAATTATAAACAAAATGTTAGATTATCTAGAATAGCTACTAAATTAATTATTGTTACAAATTATTGTTTAATTATATCAATTTATATATAATAAAAAAATCTAATACCAAAAGGGATCACTAAAACATTTTAGGGAAAAATCAGATATGATGTCATTCTATTAGGGAAGGAGAAAGGTGTAGTAGTTGATGATATTACATAAATCTTTTTTAGATAAATAAATTAACCAATCATATGCATTATAAAGAAAAGAAGATATCAGTTGATGACGTTACATAAGTTAATTAGCCAATCATATTTATCATAAAGAGGGAAGATATCAGTTGATGATATTATACAAATCCTTTTTAGATAAATCTAAATTTATTGCGCATGTCAAACGTCACAAATATTACTATATATAAATTTACTATGCATTTTATATTATATATTTATTGTGACAAATTTTTGTTTAACGTTAAACAAGTATTATAATAGTTTAATGTAAAAAAAAAAATTTTTTTCACTTTTGCAACTTTAAAAAATATAAAGAAAATTTTTTCTTGTGGGTTTTTTACAATGAAAAAACATATTTTCGAAAGCAAAAATATTTTAAGAATTATCTTGTCCAAAAATTATGAAATCTTTATAATAATATGTAAATGCTTTTGCATACTCTAAAATGATAGAAAGCTATAATACTACGCTTAGTAAAAAAGAACTTCAACTTCAAGTACAAAGTAATTAGCGAGAAGTTAAAACAAAAATGCAAATTATATTAAAAATCTTATTTCTAACCTATTAAAGATACCTATTTAATCTTCTTTTTCTTTTTTTTCACAATCTTTACAATAAAAATTCACAGCTAAATCTTTATCACTTATATTATCTTTATCAATATCACCTTCATCACCTATATTACTTTTATCACCTATACCATCTTCACTACCTATATCAATTTTTAATCCTTCTGATAATACTTAGCTTTCATTTAACGTATCAGTATAAAAACAATCAGTTACTATTATTCAAAAAGCTAAAATAGAACTGTATGAATATACTAAGTTATTACAAGCAGTAATATTATCAGAACTTCATTTACAGTTCTTTCAAAGATCAAAAGGCTTAAGAGAACTATTATTTTATTACTTTATTATTCTATAATTAATACTAAATTTTAAATAATAAATTTAGAGATGGGATAGTTCAGTTCAATTAGATTCCAATTCTGTAAAACCAGTTCTATTAATTAATTTGAACTAAACTGGGTTCTTTAGAACTGGTTCTAAAATTAATTCAAGTCAGTTCAATTAGAACCAGTTCTAAAAACTGATTTAAGTAATTTAATTAAGACTGGATTTTATAATAATAGATATATATATTTTATATAAAATCAAATAAAAGCATTTAAATTAATATACTATTTAATTTTGATAATTAATTATACTATTTAGATGAAAAATTTTATTTTATTAAAATTTATTAAATAGTCAAAAAAAATTACATTACTCTTTTAAATAAATGAAATAAAAATAAAATTTTTTATTTTTTTACTTCATTAACTATCTAACTCTTTAAATATAAACATGATCATGCTATTTCTGGCAATAAATGATTACATATTTTGCTAATTGTATTTTCAGCAACTGAAAATATCTGTTTTGATATAATGTTTATTGATTGAATTATAAAATAATCTTATGCTATCCTACTCACAATTGTATATTTTTTAGCATGTACTTGCCATCATAAAAGAGGATCAAATTCTTCATCAATAAGTAATGAAAGATAATAATTTAATTCTAATACTATTGTTAAAAAAGTAATAGAGTGAAATTAATTGTTCTTCCTTTTTATCAAAGTTTCGTAAAATATTGATGAGTAGTATTAACAGTAATTATTATAGATAATTAAACTAAATTAGAAAAATGCTATTCATAAATTTTAAATTTAGTTTGAATATACATACAAGTATTTTGTAATAATTCACTTGAAAAGATAGAAAGTTTAATTTGAAGTTCTAATATTGCTAAAATAATTGAAATTTCATCCATAATTTTCAATATTCTTCAATGTTATTAAATATTGAAGATGCTATTTGACGTTAAGTAAAATCTTCTTTTAGTATATAATCCTTTAGATTAATTTGAATTACTTTAAAAATATAATGAATATCACCTATAATTGAATAAAATGATGCTGATAAGTGTTTTGTAGCTCTCTTTAAAGGTTCAAAAAGTAAAAGAATATCCTATTTATAAAATATAAAAAATTAGTTTAAAATTCTTTAAAATCATTTTTAAATATAATATTAAATAGCTTACCTTAATTGCAATCCAATCAGATTTATTAGAATAAAGTTCAGTAATAGATCAATAGTTAGCAACAAATAATACCAATACTAATTTAAGTTATTCTAAACGTTTTAACATATAATATGTTAAATTTTAACAAGTCTCTATATTAATAATAGGTTTAAGATAAGATATATTTTTTAAATCATATAGAAGATGAAGATTATCATAAAAGCAGGTAAATTTTTGATTTTAATCTTTAGTTGACATGTTTTATTAATTAAATTGTTAATTTTCTTTAATTTCTTTATTACTTTTAAATTTAAAACATGTGCTGTACAATGATAGTGTAAAAAGTTTGTTGATATAAATTCAGAATCAAAAGTCTCAGCAATTTTTTTTCACAAACTAATATTGCAGTTTCATTATCTATTATAATTACGATGACTTTGTTAAAAATATTGAATTTATTTAAATACGTATAATTTTATTCATAATATTTACTTCAGAATGGCTAATAGTAAAAGGGATATATCAAGAAGAAATTACAAAGATGCTAATTAGAATCAATATAATGGATTATAAGACCTACAAAGGCATCTTAATTTATATTAAAAGTTTACATATCTGTAGTTAATGAAAATTATCTTACGATTTGATTAAGATTATTAGTAATTTTGACTTATCAAATAATAAATGCATTAATAATTATATCTTTAACATGGTATTATTCAGAAATAATATAATGAGAACAAAAATATTTGACAAAACTTCTAAAATATAAATTATCAATAACTATAAAAGGTTGAAGATCATAAACAAGCTAATTAATAAAGTAATTATTATGGTGTTCTTATTCTTGTTGATTAAAAGAATTTATTCTATTAATTACAAATAATGCTTATTTCTTTAAAGGTAGTTTTAAATTATGATTTTTTTAAAAATGCTTCATAAAAATAATACATCTATTGAAAGTTTATATTTGGAAGAGTATAGGTTACAAATATTATATTCTTGTAAATAGAAAGGATTTCTTTTAAAATATAACTGCATAGAACTAAAATTTTTATCACTAAAAGAAACTGATCTAACAGGTTCATTTGATTCATAAAGATTAATATTCATCTCATTTTTGATAATTTCATCCTCAGAAATATTTTCAAAATCTTCTGAAGGATCTATAATAATTTAGTAAAAAGAAACACAAGAAAATACAAGAAAATAAAATTTTTTATTTTCACATTTTATAGATGATTGTAAGATAATCAAAAAACTTTACAATTAAATAAATGATTAGAATAAAATTTCTTATGTAGATTGATTTTTTATTAGTGATTTATAATAAAATAACTCAAAAAAACTGTTAAAAAAGAAATTGTAAATCCATTTAAAATTAACTGCTCCTTTATTTATTTTTTTTTTTTATTTTTTTTCATTATGAATGGAATACTTACTTTTAACTTAATTTATCAATTTTATAACACTTTGTTATTCAATATTTGATTTTAAAATCAACCTGAATAAATTCTGAAATGCAAATTAGAGAATTCAGTTTTAGAATTGATTCTTCAAAATGAATTGGTTCTTCAAAAGTTATAAAATTAAAATTAGAACTAAAAGAATTGCATTTTAAAATTAAGTTTGAACTAGTTCATTGTAGAACTATCCTATCCTTAAATAAATTATATGATTTAAATTTGATTATATTTGAAATATATTTATTTTGATAGTATTATAAGATTATAAAATAATATAATAAATTCTTATTAAATTTATTTACTCTTTAATACATAATAATAGAAAAAAGAAGAATATTTATACTGAAATAAAAGCATAATAACATAAAGAAAAATTCTCAAATACAAAATTAGAATGAAAATAGCAAATATTTTTAATTTAAAATAATATAATATAATATTCATCTGTAAAATCTGCAATCAGATAAATTTGACGGATATTCAAATAAGTAATAGATAAATTTACAGATTCATAATAAATATTTAAATCTTCAAAATTAATTTTAGATTAGACTAATGGATAATAGATTTATCTAGATCCTAATACTAGTTCTAAGCATATAGAATTCATATAGAAATTTTCTTTTTAAATATATATCTTTTTTAAATATACATTTTCACTATAGTTCTGAAAGAATACATTTAGAGAGATTGATTGTATATAAAAAAGTAATTTAAAATTTAAAAATAATTTACTAATATATTTTTTTATAAATTTGTATAATAATTTATAAAATTGTATAAATTATATTATATATAAATTTATATAAAATTACAAATATTATATATATTTTATAAATAAAATATAAGATTTATATATATTATATTTATAAAATTTTTAAATATAATAAAATTTATTATTAAATTAGTTTAAATATTTAAATTAATAAAATAAAATTAAATAAAATATTAATTTTAAAAATTTAAATAATAAAACTTTAAATCAAAGAATTTAAATATTTTAATAATATTAAAATTTAAAATATTAAATTTAAAGAATTTATTATAAAAAATAAAAATAATGATTAAAAATTTATTATTTTTAACATTAATTATAATTTATTATATTATGTAAAATTAAAATTTTATAATTAAATTTAAATTCTATAATTATGAATAATAATAAATAGTTATTATTTTTAATATTAAAATTAAATTGATATTTAATTTCTAATTTAAATTTTATTTTCTATTTTAATTAGATATATATATTCAGATTATATAATAGATATATTTATCATTGATATTATACTCTTTTATCTTTAGTTTTTATTATTTATTTCAAGAACTTAAAATTTTTTTAATAAAAAATTATTATTTATCACATTCTTTCTGTCATATAATTAATTTCTTAATTTCTTAATACTAGTAAAAATAAAATAACATTAGCTATATCATACAATTTATATATATGTATATATCTATATACAAATAGGAATTGCTATTTTAATAATATCTTTAATTGATATCCAAAATTTTTTATTTAAGAAAAATCTTAATTTCTTTAATATTTAAAAATTAATATTTACAAAGATAACTTTATTTAAATTTTTTAATATTTATAAAGATAATTTTTTATTTATAAATTTAAATAAATAAGGTATTTTCAAATTTAATATATAATCAGTTCATATATGCATTTATATATAAAATAATTTCAAATTATTAAATAAATTAATATTTAATTTTTTACATTTAGAATATAAGTTTAAAAATATAAAGATTATTATTTCATAAAATAATTATTTTAGAATATAATGAAAGATCTTTTAAATTAGTAAAAATACTTTTTTATCAAATGACTCATATTTTTAAAAAAAGAAATGTAAAAAATCAGTATTAATATTAGATCTTTTTAATAAAAAAGAAGAAAACAGCTGAAAAAATAAAAAAAAATAAGATAATACTAAATCTAAGTATATTTTAACCTGACATATAAAAGTAAAATTGATTTTTTTTAGTATTTTCTCTTTTCTATTGCAAAAGTTTTATATTATTTAGTATACTTTATTATTTATACATTTGAAATATTGAAAATAGATAATTATAAAGGATTATTATATTATTGAATACAATCAAAATATTTAATGATAATTTTGATTGCATTTTCAATTAAGATTAGATATTGATTATAGTATTAATAAGAAGATTAGTAAGTTTTAAGAAAAATTTTTTAATATTTTTAATAGTTATTAAGCATAAATGAACACGTATAAGCTTTGATAATAAGTTTATTTGTAAAAGACATAAATGAGAAGTTATTAAATAAGATAATTGTAAGATAATTGCATTATTTATTTTCATATAAGAGATGAATTTAATTCTAATAATTTTTTTTATTGTATTATCAGAATGATTATGTATAAATGCATTAATAAAAAATACATAATAGAATAGAAAGATATTATACATCTTATTTTGTTTTTCTTTATTGATTTTTTAGAATAAAATCATTTGTAATACATTAAGTAAAGTAAATTAGAGCTTTAATTTTTTGCTCTAAATAAATATCACTTTTATTATTTTTATTAAAATTATTTTAGAGGTATTATAAATTTTATCATTATTTAAAGAAGCTTTATTAGTATTAGTAACAGTTTCAGGAGCTTTCCTTTATCAGAAGGAAATAGAAATTACTTGATTTCCATATCTTTAATATATTTTTGAAGAAGTTTTACTTGACGTTGAGGCTTTAGGTATTAAGGTATTAATAATTTTTTGCTAGTATTATTATTGTTCATTTTCAGACAAAAAAAAGCAAGTCTTATTAGATTTGTTATTGTTATTTTTTCCATTTTTTTTTATTGATCATTTTTGGTTTTGGTAAGAGTTTATTTATCTGTTATAATATTTTATAATATTTATAAATAACTTTATACTTATTATATATATAATTTAATATTGTAAATAAATAGTATATAAATTATTTGCTAATTATAAGTTATAATAAATGTTATAATCTTTATAGAAAAACTATTTATATAATTATATATATAATATATAATTTAAAAAGAATGTAAATTTATACTAGAAATTATTTATAAACTAATTTTAATTATTTGTTATTTTTATTTATGTATTTTATATATTTAATAATACTAATATTGTTAATTTAATACTGATAAAACTATTTACAAATTAATTATAAAAATAAAAATATAAATATAAACCTTCTTTTATTATACAGTATATATTATATATATTGGTTTATATTAAAGTTAGAAAATTATAATAAAAATATTATATATATTCATTAGATTTTTTCAGTGTATAAATAAACAATACAAACAAGAATTAATATAAACTGCTTTTAATTATTTGCTTTTTCACATTTATTATATAAAGGTATTTTATAAGCACGAACTCTTTGAGCAATATAAGCTTGCTCAGAAAACTTCTAGATCTATTTTTAAGTAATAGTTTCCTTCATGCATAAGCAAATAAGTCGATTAAAAGATTTCTAGAATTACTGTGCCGTGTCATATAGAATTAGCATCATGACCTTTTTTTTTTAAGTAAAAATGCTGCGAAAAACCAGAGAAAATTTAGGAAAAGGTCTATTTTTTTTTAAAAAAAGTAAATAATAAAAAATAAATTATTAAGAAATAAGTTTAAATGAGTTTATAATAATAATCAATCAAACAAGTATAAAATGTTTCTTGAAGTTATTTCTCGATATCATTTATTCATTATACTGCGCCAAAATGAGTAAAAAATGCTTTACATTATTAAATCAATTTTTCTTTTTAGTTTTTTGTTTAAAATATGAACTCGACTATTTAATTACTTTTTCAAGCTTTTAATTATAAATTGAATCGTTTTTTTTAAAAAAAAAAAAAAATCGGATTAATTTTTATAATCAGATCTGATCCTTTATTTGTAATATGATAAAAAAAAAAAAAAAAATTCATACATATAATAAAACGAGAATTTCTATTTTGTACCCAATAGTATGAAACGCATAAGAGGTGACAAATAACATTTTAGCATTCATAAGTTAAATGTCGGGTTAGTCGGCACAATGACATTGACAACTAACTTATAATCCATTTATTACAGGACAATATTTTTTTTAAAAAAAAAATACCCTATAAATACGTGATTTTTGTTTATCATACATGAAATTTGGTAAAGAAATAAAAATTAGGAATTTATTAATTATAACGGGTGATTGCAATCAACTCTCTATAAACGCAACAACCCCTATAATTCATATTATAGAGAATCATTTATAGAGAATTGACCGTATTTTATAACTGCGTGAAAATTAAAAAAAAAAGTTACACGTGAGTATAATTTATTTTCTAAATAAAAATCCTATAATAAAATGTTTCTAAAAAATCAACCAAAATCGCTTGAATTTGAGGGGTGGGGGGGGGGGGTTATTAGATACCATAACAATCACCTTTTTTCCTTTTTTGCTTGTGCATCATCAAAAAGTTAAATGTATTATAGATTTTAAAACCGATAGTAGGAAGATAAGATTTTCGAAAGTTCGTCTAAAGTGGCACAACGAAGGACCACAGACCAGACGATACCATTTACAATCAATAATGAATGATTAAAAGAAACATATTATCAAGGTAAGAATAATTCCAACATATTCATTAAAGTGTCTTCAGAATTTGCCTGAACATAACCCTCCCTACCCTTCAACTTATGCGAAAAATTCATCCATGACTCGGGCCATTAATGAAAATGCAATGTATTATTTACTATAATATTTTTCATTATTCTTTTGTTTTATTAAACAGATAATATATATGGATATAAACACAAATGCGATATGGCTTAAATTAGCGTTCCCCACAATTGTAAATCCGGCATGTGCGTTTTATATTCAAAATTAGGGTTTTTTTTTTTTTTCTAACAGATTTCAAATTTAAAATTTGAGAAAAATAATAATGCCTTTTGAGAGTAGTGAATCGAAATGAATAAAGGAATCTTTTCAATCTGTTGAAAATCCTAGGTTTTGACCTACTTGTACTTTGTGAGATATACAAATATTTGATACTATCATGTGGGGTAATAACATGAGCCGTCGTGAGTTGAGCTTTAAAATCCATAAAAGCACAATTCATTTTTGTTTAAAAAAAGGTTTCCCGAACTTGTAAAAAAAAGATTGCTTTGGTAAAATTAAAAAAATAAAAGAAGGTTCATATTAAACGGATTTGCAACGCAAATCATCACGTTTAAAACTCATTAAATGATTTCCTTTTTAGTCATGTGTGTTACGTACTTTAACAAAAAAAATTCTTCATTCCCAATGAACATTAATTATAAAAGGACAACATCATTTTTTCGTCTTTAAATTTTTTTTTTAATTTAACCATTGCCAAAATTATTAGTATTCCGAATTATCTATCAACCATATTCTTCAAAATAAAATAAATAAATCATCAATATGCCAGACGCACAAATCTACATACAAGACTTTATGAGGACCGAAAAACCTCGACCTCAGAGTTCTGCCGTAAGGAGACATGCACCAAAACTTGGTAATCCCACTCCTCTCGGTCTTTCAGCTTTCGCCTTGTCCGTCATGGTTGTATCCATCTACAATCTTTTTAACTCTACACCACACGTTGTGGTCGGTGTATCTCTATTCACAGGTGGTGTCGTTCAAGTAAGTTGTCGCGTATATAAATTAAAACGTGTCAATATAAAACAATCGATTAATTTCTATTTCTTTTCATACATAGTTCGCTGCTGGTATGTGGGAGTTCAAAGTTGGAAACACCTTTGGAGGAACTGGGTTCTCTGCATTCGGTGGGTTCTGGGCTTCTTTTGGAGTACTTTACATTCCAGCTTTTGGTATCCAGGCTGCCTACGGTGCCGATGATCTCAATAATCTATCGGGACAAATAGCTTATAACAATGCTCTTGGAGTTTATTGTATAGCATGGTTGATATTTACTTTCATCTTTACATTGGCTTGTATGAGAACAAACGTGGGTGTATTGTCAGCTTTCATATTCTTGACGATGACCTTCGGTGCTTTGGTGATTTTCCATTTTACTAGAACGATTTTCTTTTTAAGAATTGCTGGTGCCCTTGGTCTTATTACATCATCAATTGTTTGGTATTGTTTGGCCGCTACTCTCTTAACGCCTGACTTGTCTCCAATCAGTTTACCTCTTGGAGATTTGTCTCGCAAAGATAAATAATTTACCCTTTTTAAAATCTTATATATTACAATAAAAACAATTACTCACCTATTTAATTATACCTTTATGTAATTCAATTAAACTAATTTAATGCTATAATAAAAAAAAAAAAGGAAGAAAGAAAAAAAATAATCCCTTATTACTACTAGATGAAGATTTTTACCTCTATATTATACCAGGCGGTTTTTTTTTCCTTTTCCTTTTCCTTTCAGATTTGCAATATTAAATAATTTTATTAGAGTTATTTTAAATTGCTTTTTTTTAATTCTCAACTTAATAAAATAATCTCGTCATTTAAGAGAAAGTCTCTTTGTTTAACCAATTTATTTATAAAATAAATTACTGATACATAATGTTTATAATGTTAATAACCTTCATGTGTAACAAATATGGTAATAAAGATAATAATGATTTCGTATAAGTGAAATCTTCTGTTTCTATGATAAAAAAAATATGAAAAAAAAAACGCAGGACTTAAGCCCTTTGTACATTGACTACCTTTTCAACCCATCATTGCCGAGAAGAATATTTCAAATAAAAAGGAAATGCCCCTTTCTAATTGGAGGCTTTATTGAAGCGATGCATTCTGTCATGCATGGTGAAAAGACCATTCGAAAAAAAAAGAAAAAAAAAAATAATTTTTTTTTTTAGAATAAGAAATTATCAAATTTCCGGTTCGCCAAATCAGAAAAGTTTCAAAAACCTGCAATTTTATCTTAGCTTTCCGAAAACGGATGTTTATTAAAATTATGAGGTAAATCTTTTTTTCAGCATTGACCATTAAATTAAATTGTGCTTTGATACTTTACTAAAAACATCACCTATAATAAAGGAGAACTGTTTTCGTCACCGATGTTGATATTAAATATATTTATATCAGCAAAAGTTCGAAAAAAAGATTTACTAAACAAGTAATATGATAAAATTAGATGCATTTGCATCATCTTGCATCGTTGCTCAAGTACATGTAGAAAAAAAAAATTTTTTTAAATTCAATTGAAAGCGATTTTGTATTACAATAATAAAAAATCAAATTTTTAACATATCTCTAAAGTACTTTGGTTGTACTTTAAAATCGCATCTTTATCCCGCATCAGTCCGGGGGCTCTCACATTTTTTGATATAGGTTTGATAATGTACATAACGTGGAATTCTAGAAAAACGATATATTCATTCTATCGATAGCTGTTAATTTTTTTCTTTTTTTTTTAAAAAAAAAAAAAATGATTGGAGAATCGTTTCGCGTAGTGGTTAAGAATGGCGACATCATTCCGGAAATATCCGAGAAGTTCCGACGAAGCGGATAAATATCCGGTAAAATTTAAAATTCTATAACAGATAAAAAAAGTTCCTTTGGCTTCCGGTAAGTATAATAAAACAAGCTAAATTAGTTAATTGTAAAACTCATGTGTTTGTAATAAAACAAATAAAGCCTCAATTAGGAATAGGCGGTTTCTCCTCCTTTAAATTAAATTTGGTCTTATCAATTTTCATTTTTATCTTGGTGACTGAGTAATTTCCGAATTATTCCAAGTGGCCCCCTTTGTTTGAATATCAACAGAAATTTTTGACAGAACGTTCCGGCAATAAAAAAAAAAAAAAAAATAACAAATTCTTTTTATCATGTATGCCGATTTTTTAATTTAAGAGGAAAAAAAAAAGGTTTCTCGGTTTACATGAATGATAATGTTATGAGAATTAATAATATGATGATAATCAAGAAATTTTAATTGGTACTTTTATTTTCACCGAATTACATTAAAAAGATAAAAAAAAAAAAAAATAATAAATAAATAAATAATGATTTTAATAGTTATTTTTGATACAAATATGTGTTATTTGGTGTGCGTAAAAATTTTTCTTTTTTTTTCTTTATAAATTAAATAGTGATTAAACTTCGGACGAAATTAAATACCTAAATATATAATATTAATTTGTCGTTTAATGACCTATAATTACGTCTGGGAATTCCTGTTTTTTTTTTGTTTTTTAATTTTTTTTCTTTCCCATTCCTTATTTCCCATCCCTTAATCTTCGTATTAAATATAGAAGAGAAAAAAAAAATAAAATATAAAAAAAATAGAGTTAATTTTCAAATGGGTAGAATAAGTAAATTAAACCATTGTATAGCAGTTTCGCCAATAGGAAGATATTTTAAATTGGATGGATCACCATCATCGTCGTCAAGAGAAGGGACAAAATTTACGACGGAAGTTAGAGCGGGTATAGCAACATTCATTACAATGGCATATATCATATCAGTTAATGCCACGATAATAGCGGATAGTGGAGGACCATGTAAATGCACATCAGATTCCAATAAGTTTTGCATCGGAGATGAAAGTTACGAAAAATGTTTAGAAACGATTAAGCATGACTTGATAACCGCGACGGCATTAATATCATGTATAGGAACGGCGATTATGGGAATCTTTTCAAATTTACCGATAGCAATAGGGCCCGGGATGGGATTGAATGCGTATTTTACTTACACGGTGGTTGGATATCATGGAAGTGGGAAAATATCGTATCAAGTAGCATTGGCAGCGGTCTTTTTAGAAGGGTTATTATACGTCGTGTTATCAATATTTGGTATAAGGCAATACTTGGCCAGAATTATTCCATCGAGCATCAAATTAGCCGCTGGAACGGGTATCGGATTGTTCTTGGCGTTTATCGGATTACAAAAGTCGACGGGCATAGGTTTAATCACATATGATCCTTCTACTTTGGTCACCTTGGGAGGATGCCCGCAACAGGAATTTGATAGTATCACGGGAAGGTGTTTGGGTCATCAGATGGAGAGTGCGACCACGTGGTTAGGAATCCTTGGGTTCATAATAATGTCATTATTGATGTTATATAAGATTCGAGGGAGTGTATTGATCGGTATCATCTTAATTAGCATAATATCATGGTTTAGAAATACCGCATTCACTTACTTTCCCAACACGCCACAAGGTAATGATCGATATGAATTCTTTCAAAAGGTGGTGAATTTCTTCCCGATACAAAATACATTGGCCACCATGAAATTTGATTTTAGTGATAGTGAAATTTGGATCGCGTTAATGACCTTCTTATACGTGGATATGTTGGACACGACGGGCACATTATATTCCATAGCGAAATTTGGTGGATTCATAGACAATGAAACGGGGGATTTTGAAGGTTCAACCGCCGCTTTCATTTGTGACGCCATTTCCATATCAATCGGTGCGGTATTTGGTACTTCACCCGTGACGGCTTTCGTTGAATCAAGTTCTGGTATATCAGAAGGTGGTAGGACTGGAATAACCGCTTTAGTGACATCGATTTGTTTTGGCATAAGCATCTTTTTCATTCCTATATTTGCCTCCATACCTCCATGGGCGACCGGTCCTGCGTTGATGATCATTGGCAGCATGATGTTAAGAACCGTAAAGTACATTAATTGGGAATATATTGGAGATTCCATACCAGCTTTCCTTACCATCGTTTTAATTCCTTTAACTTATAACGTTGCTTATGGTTTGATCGCTGGTATCGGTTCCTATTTTATCATCAATACCACAATATTTATAATTAAAGTATTGACCAAGGGAAAGGTTCAGCCGTCGAAAAAATCTTTCAGGGACAATTGGGGTGGGGATGGACTTTCTGAAACTGATATCCAACGTTTGTCTAGTTCCGCTACCCCGGTTTCTCCTTGGTTGATTCAATTACATAATCGGTTATTCAGCCAAAGAAATGATGATGATGGCCAATTTCATCATATAACCCACATATCACACCCGAAGGATGTCATCAAAGATGTAAATGTTGAACGCGTTGTGAATGATTATTCGGATGATTTAAAATACGTCACCAATGAGGAAACTGGTCGTTTGGATAATGTATAACCTTAACTTTTTCTATTATGTACGATAAGTGTATATATATAAATATTATTTAATTATTGTATAAAATTTTAAAACCTTGTCTTTATTTTTTTTTTTTTTTTTAATCGTTAATTTTATCTTTAATTTAAAAAACAAAATCTTTTATCACATTCATTTCTTCGATTCAAAACTTTTATATTTTGAGGGATTCATTTAAAGCATTTATTTTTATGTATCATTAATGATTATTTATTATCAAAAATTATTGTCGAAGCGCTTATATAATTAACTATATATAACGTACACCATTATTTAATTTTTTTTACAAAAAGTCACGAGATTCAGTTTTGGGCAATAAATCTTATTGTAGGAATTGCGCAGTTACCATTAAAATAATTCAAAGCCTTAATGGTCATTCATCATTGAAAACCAATTCATTTATTTTCAAATTGTAGATAATGTTTCATTTCTAGGTGATAACTTTCATTTTTATGAGTAGGATCCCTTTTTTTTTTTTTTCTTTTTTTAAAAAAAAAAAAAAAATAAGGAATCAATAAGGAATACGTAACGACAGTACATGCAATTAAAAAATGTTACAAGCTAAATTTGAACGAATCTCGACCTAAAAATCATATAGAAAAGTAAAGTAGGGTCGTTGGAAGCTCTGTGTTACATATGACGCATTTCCACACTTCAGGTGACCCAGTAGCAAAAAGCATGTCAAGCGTTGCACGAACGATTGGCAATGGCGTTTCGCGGCTGATAAACATATGTTTTATCAAAAAGAAAATTGTTTGCCCCTTGTGGTCATTTAGTTCGATTGTGTAATTCTATTGTTTAAAAAAATGAAGACGATAAGTAACAAAGATTAAAAAAATCGTGAATGTTTTTTAAGACCTAAGAAAAAACAGATTTTCATTGGTTACTGTTAAGATCACGTGACACCTGTTTTGGGGAGAGTGAATGTGCAATATTCACTATCAATCAACTCACTCTTAATTAAGATTAGCATGAATAGTTTTATTGGTAAAATTCATTTGATATGAATTATATAGTTATCATTGTAACATTGTATTTGAAAATATATGAATATATACTATAAAAAAAAACACCCAATAACATTCTCGAATGAATAAATACATTTAATTAGCGTAAATCAAAAATTATGCGGAACCTTCATATTGTTTCTTAAGTTTTGCGACATAAGCAATGTATTGAGCTTGTGCATCCTCGGGAGATGTACCTGATTTATTTCCAGTATAATTAATATAACAAGACCTTAAAAAAAAAATTGTTTTTGGGAAAATCAAAAAATCAAAAGAAAAAAAAAAAGAACCTTTCTTAGCATCGTAAGCATTCCACTTGGCTTTATCTGACATTGCACTTAAAAATCCTGGTGCAGCTAATGTTTTTATTGGATTTCGAGATTTTAAATCATTGATCAATAATGATTCATCGATAAAAAATAAAAATCAAAGTAAAAATTAAAAAAAAATCGAATCATAGCGCTTAAACAACTTACCTTTGGTGTTATCTCCTACACTCCCTTGCTTGAATAAAGCATATCCTTCCAACTTTTCTTCATTAGGAAGACTATATTTCTTTACGAGTTCTTCGAATTCTTTAGCAGCAACGTCAAATTCTGGCTATTTATCAAAAAATTTTCAATGTTGATATATATTCTCAATTATCTTTATTTTTTTTTTTAAAAAAAAAAACTCACACTTTTTTTTATGTCTGACATGTTTAATGAAAATTTTATTAAAAGATTTATCAAAGTAAAAATTTTAAGATTTGAGAGTTCAAAAAAAACAAAGATGACTATTTATTAAGGGGAAAAAAAAAAAAATAGATTGATCATTTCGGTTTCACAAAATCATTAATCATTACTAAAAATCTTTTGTGATAAAAGATAACAATTTCAGGGCTGAATAATTAGTTAATAAAAATACACACAAAATTGGGCTTTTATTTTTACCAAAATGTATCAAAAGATATGAATAATATATACCACTTCGCTAAAAAAAAGAATCGCCCACAAATCGAACCCTGGGAAATTTTTTTTTGTGACACTTTTTTTTTTTTTTTTTTTGCCATGATTTCTGTTGCAAGCTTCTCTTACAACAATCATCATTGATATCATCTAAAAGAATAATATCGACAACCATTGTCTTTTAAAACTTGCAAACTGGTATACCACTGCTCCGTTATTCATAATATTATTAAATAGTAATTATTATAAATCAGATTAATTGTAACCTGCATCAGTGGAAAATACGGTAAAGAAAGCTGTGACACAATTTAGTTCCTATTTATGTTAAAATCATGAAATATGGGATATGGGATATGGGAATATGCAGCAAATTAATAATATTTTTCATTTGAACACAAATATAAAACGTGACTACAATTTCTTATATACGAATAATATGTAAAAAAAAAAATATACAATTAGATTGAAAGAAATTTCTAGTGTGTAAAAAAAGTAGGTAAATTATTTCAAGGTTTTTTTTTTTTTTTTTTTTTTTTTTTCCTTTTATATTCAAATAAAAATCTTAAATATGTAATTTAAAAAAAAATTACTACAATACATATAAATGTTCGCCAATCATCTTTACCACTTTCCCCTTTTTATTTCTATAAACAATTCGGTATGACTTGACTTACCGATTCATAAATGCAATTTACGTCACCATGCCCGTTGGAATAATTATTGAATTTCATCTTCTAAATTCTGAAGGTGGAGGTATTTCAGGTATTTTATATAATTCAAATTCACTTTGTGATGGAAATGCTTGCATTTGTGGATTGTTTATTGTACCTTGGGGATTTCCTTGTGGTGATTGTTGTTGCTGTTGCATTTGCTGTTGTTGCATTTGCTGTTGAAGTAAATATTGTTGTTGAAGGTCGGGTTGTTGTTGCTGTTGCATTTGCTGTTGTTGCATTTGTTGTTGAAGTAAATATTGTTGTTGAGGGTCAGGTTGTTGTGGTATAAAACTTCCTAACCCTCCACCAAACCCAGGATTTGGTTGAGCCTGAACTCCTCCTGGATAACCCAATGAACTATTACCACCAAAGGTGGATGATCCAAAACCTGAGGGGTTTGATCCAAATAAAGATGGAGTCGCGGCGGGTTGGTTATATGATGACCCTAAAATCGAGGGCGTACTGGGTTGATTAGGTTGATTCATAGATGATCCGAATAGTGAAGGTGTGGACAGTGCGGGTGCACCTAAAACTGAGGGTGCTCCGTATGCCCCTTGCCGTGGAGGTTCGGGTTGAGACTGCGTTGGTTGAGGTTGAGGTTGACCAAATCCTCCAAATCCGCCAACCGCTTCTTGTGCTAATTGTTGCCTCTTAGCATCAAATCTACTAAGGGTAGATCGTAAGTCTCTAAGGGTGATTTCAATTTGGTTGTGCATACGATCATCAAGATCTTTTACACCAGCACGCTAGATTGGTTAAAAAGTTATTGAATTATCTACAATTCGTTCCTACTATGGCCACCTTTGAAGATCCTACTTCTTTCTGATGGACTATAATAAAAATATAAAAAGAAAAAAAAAAAGAAAAGAAAATATTGATCTAAAAAATTATTAAGTCTAAATACATACGTAAGCTGTATCATTTCCATTCGTGCTCATGATATTATAATATTGCACTCGTAATTCTTCGGCAGAGAAGTCCGTACCCTCTATTAAATTCGGCTCTTCTTTTGCCGGTCCGTAACAGGAGTATTTGTACGAAGGACGGTCTCTGGATAAATCTGCTCTTACAGTTTTTTCACTAAATTATTAACAAAATCTCGATTAATGCTCCGGTCGGTTCTTATCATCAAAACCATGCCATGCTAAAACTAAAAATAAAAAAAAATTACTCATATATCTTGGAAGCGGAAGAGGAACCTGTTAAAAGTCGAATCAAAAGGTTAAAAAAAAGATTCATAAAAAAACCATATATCGAAAGAACTTTGATCTTACCAAAACCACCTAATCGGGATTGTAATTGGGTACTCGAACCTGTAGCACCAAAACGTTGATTATTACGTTGTTGAGACTCAGGTGGATGCTCATTTCTACAGGTTGAGCCAAAGCTACATCGGCCCTCCAAGAAAAACTTACAAACAGTCATATTATTTGATTCCTTCTTGTGAGAATTTCTACTATTCAATACTTTTCGTATGAAAGGAAATTGTGGCTAATACCTTGACTATATGATCCCAGAATGTTCAAACAAAAAGTCTTTATATATCTCCTCCTTTTATACGGTTAATAACGCTGAATTATAATTGGCCAAATCAAATTCTGGAAAGTATGACTAATTATTTTTAGATCTCAAAAGACCCCGTAAAAGGCAAAGATTTGCAATGTTCGCCGGGTGTGTGAAAGGTTTTCTCTAATGTGCTATGGATTTCAAGCCTCCCAACAGTATCATCTGACAGTTTAATTGGTTGAATACCGAGCCACCGTGATAATAGCCACAAAAAAGCTAGTACGCGTCTTTCTTTCTTTCTTTCTTTTTGTTTTAACCGTTAGAGTGACCAAAATGGAACCGAATAGTTTCGACGTGCCTTCGTTAACGGTCATAGCATTTCACGTATTACTTCACATTACAACTCCTGAAGCTTGGCATGTTTGGACGAAGCAAGGGCTTATTGATGTGTTTTGTGCAAACAACAAAAGTGGCTCGGTAATATGATACATTTCTTTTCAAGCAAGTTGCAAATGACTTTTTTTCAATAAAAGAATCAAACTGTCACCTTTTGTTAAATTATCCTTACTTTTTTTTTTAAAAATAAAAAAAAAATAATAAAGAGGCGACGCAAAGTACAAGAATTGATTGATCGATTGGTCCAAAAAGGTATATTAAATTCATTAATAACGCGTACAGATAACGGGAATCAAGAAATCACGATATGTTGGATTGGGCCAAAATTGAATGATCGTGGATCATCTATTCAAGAATCACGGAGAGATTTAATGGAATTGACACCAAAATCTGAACCTAGTGCAAAACGGCTTTCTATTGGAAACAAAAGTTCACGTCGCTCAATGACATCTATAATAAACAAGGCGCAATCAAAGTTGAAATCATCGTCCCCGTTGTCTCCGATTAGTCCTTCTGCGCGTTCTTTTAAAACTCCATTGAATAGAAAATCAGCAAAATTTAAGTCACCGTTTAAGTCACCTCTAGTTCACGAATTACATGATCCAGAAACAAAAGCTATCACAGATCAGGAACGAGAATTGAAAAAGGAAATCGCTTATGTTGAAGAAACTATCAGGAAGACAAAATTAGTTTTGAAATATCAAGAGACGGTAAGTAAACGCGATGATTGATGTATTTGCAAATTGCACGTTTGCTATACTAAATAAACATCCCACACATTAAAGAATGAGGGTAGCGTTAATGATCAACTAATTGTGAAATGGCGTCGGGCGAGTCAAGAAGCTGCGGAATATTTATTTTCAAAAATCCCAAAAGAAAAATCATTTTTAGAAGAGGCGGGCTACTCAAATGCTTGGGGAAATTGGGGATGGGATGAAGAGAGTTCGCAGAAACAAAAGTCAAGTTATTCAGAAGATGAGGAGGATTATAAAGGATCACTTGAAAAACTTGAACAGAGCGATGAACTTAAACAAAACACCATGAAATCGATGCTTTTACGGATGGGAATTGACCTGGAATTGATCAGGTGGAATGAGGACGATGAATGCTTTGAAGAATAGATAAAGTGTGTGTGTGTGTGTGTTTTTACAATATGGAGAAAGGCTCATGTATAATGAATTAAGAAATATCGTGATTTTATTACAGCATTTGTATTGTTACACAAATTATCAAAAGTTTAAATGTTTCTAAAAATTAATTATTAATACTTTCTCAACAGCTGTCATGAACTTTCTTCATCAACCACATCCCCAAATCTAACAAGGTTATCTTTACTTGCCATATCGTCTTTTTGAATGAATCTTTTAGCAGCAGCATTTTCAACGATTGTATTCATTTTATTATAGATATACCAAGCTGCAAAGCAAAATATTATGATACCGACCCCTATTGTAACATAATTAATTATACGAGAAGTTGAATCCATTTCTTCAGCTAAATTACGAAATCTTGAACCCATGAATACAAATATTAATAATTTTGGCAAACTTAAAGCTGTGGCTATAAAGAATTTCCAAAAACTAATAGATTGGATTGTACCAAAAAATGCATTTGACCAAGTAAATGGAAAAGGGCATAATCTTATTAAAATGATTATCTAATAATAAAGAGAAAAAAAAAAGTCGGTATTTTTTCTTGATTGATGAGTTTTTTTTTTTTAAAAAAAAAAAATTTACCTTTAATCCACCTTCTTCTATGGCCAATGATAATTTTTGAAAGTTGCTTTGTTTTTTAGAAAGTTTTCTAGCATAGCCAAGACAAATTGTTCGACATAAACTATTATTGTATACAAGAATTAGACTTTCAACTTTTTTTTTTTTTGTTTATTTGGAGACATGAACTTACTAAAAGCTAACAGTTGCGCCAAGCAAAGCAGAAATGAATGCCGGTATAAATCCAAGAGGGAACCCATATATGTATCCACAAATAAGTACAAATGATCCATACCTATAAATTAAATGGTTGTTAAAAACTCATTTCGAGTCAACATTAATGAAACTGGTCGGACTTACCCTGGAATTGGTGGGATACTAGAAATGATGATTATTCCTCCGATAATCAAATATCCAAATTTTAAATCACGCACTTTGTCTGCAAGTGGAGTTATAGCTATTTAAAAAATCAAAGAATAACATTAAAATAAATTACAATCGATTTTTTTTTTTATCTTTCTCAAAATGCTTACGATGAGAATGAATATTATGAGTATTCACCATATTTTGAGCCAATTTGAAATATATTATTATTATTTATCCATATTACCTCTCATTATAGATTCATTATATATAATAAACAAAGTAGACAAAGTAATGAATGATATTGTTGTTAATATTAACAATATTTTTTTTTTTAGCGTCAATGACCGAAAAAATTCAATTATCTTTGACATGTTTTTCACGTTTATTCGAAGTGTATAATATAAATAAAATAAATTAAAAAGTAGGCAAAAGAAATTTCGTGATTATTTTTATACTTTATTTGTTTATGCCTGCATAAAGTCCAAATTTTTACCCTGACTGACTTAAAATTCGCGTATTTAAAATGCCCGGCCCGGACAATAAAATGATTTGATAATTCAATAACCAAAAACGGTAATAATTTAATTACAATAACTGTCAATCTTCACCTTTTCTGCTTTCATTTAATATTTCAATAATTAAAAAATGATCGGCAACATTACAATCAAGTGGTGGACCCTGCCAGTTGCAGGTCTCTAATTTACCTTATAAACCATATACTAATGATTTTGCTTTAACAAACCCGTTTCGTCAGTGCTTGAAACCCCGAACATGTGCTTGTGTGGTCACATGATTTACTGAGGATATTTAAACTCATCATACTTAAAATTCGATTCAGAAATCAATTTATGAGCACAATCTTTCATAATTTTTATATTTGAACTTTAAGTTGACTAGATGATTCAGATTTCGGGTTTTTGTCATCATCTGTATCAGTCTATATTCACCATCTGCGTTTAGTTGTAATGATGTTGCACACTTCATCGATTTATTGTTCTTCTTAATCTACAAGACTGTATGAGGAAATAAGAAATCAGATATGGAATTATGAATCATGAAACACACATACTCCACATAACTGCTAGCGAGAAGAGACAAAGATGGCTCGGTTATGGACGAATGGTAGCATCGACAATCATTTGTGGATGCACCCCACCTCAGCCCAAGGGAACGACTTGCTGTTTCTGGGGTGATCTTTTTAAGAGATGACAAACGATACTGTAAACATTGCCATTAGAATAGCAATCAACCAAATATTCATAAATGTAAAACAATCCTCTATTAATTTGTATTCTACTAACGCTAATAGCAAAAAATCAAAAAATCGGGGTTTAAGCAAGCAAACAAATTTACTAATAAATTCATACAACTAAATTTAAAGCTATAATTTAAAACTGGTTTTTGAACGCAGGTTTGGAAGAATACACCAAACTGCTCAAGCAAAATCACACTCCCGATCAACTCGACATAGCCATTAGAAAAAAAATAAAGCCATTTTTTTTTTTTTTTACAATTCATGAATCATCCGGATGATACAATTGTTTAACAAAACTATATATAGTTCTATAGTAAAACTTACTATGAGAGGATTTTTTTCGTATTAAGCTATTTTATGGTATAATTTAAACTGTTTTATAATAAATTTACTTTATATTTCCTTCTTTAATAACTCTGGATTCTTCTTACCATTTCATTTCAGATTTTTCGAAAATACTCAAATATCTGTCTCTCTCACAAAATAGATCGCTTTTTTTAAAAAAATTCATTAATACTCCGAAATTAAATAAATTAAACCTAAATAAAATAAAACTTTTTTTTTTACGTGTTTTGAAAAAACGAGGTATTTTATGTTTCCTAAAGTTATCATGTACCCATTCAATTTTACTGCGTTACTTAAATGTTAATAGAGTACAAGTTATTAAATTTTAAAAGATTTCGGTTATTTTATTTGAAAAACGGCTCGCAAAGCTTAAAATGATCGATCGTCAAAAAATCTTTAATAGTAAGTTTTACTTTAGAACTATATATAGTTTTGTTAAATTATGTTGACAGCACACCCCAATGATACAAGCCCCATAAATTGCATGATTTAATGAGCCGTATTACAAAATACCTTTTGTATGAACCTTAATCATTCATTATTAAACCTAATATAAATTAAGATTGATTAATGTTTTTTTTAAGAATTATAAGTGTATTTTTAACTTTAAACATAGGTATAATTTCGTTCTCAAGTATATCGGAAGGACTGTTATTTTGTGATACCTGGCCATATAAGTCGGTTTGAAGAATTGGAAGTGGCGCATTCATAAATGCAATCAAATTATTGGAATATTTTTCGAGTTGGTCTTTATGTGAATTTATTAAATCTTTCAAACCTAAATATTCGTTCGATTGATGTTTTATTTGAGTGGAATGAATTTTTTATACAAAGATATTCGACATATTAATCTGATTTGTTATTTTTTACCAAGTATTTAATAAATATAGTGTTTTTTATACATTACATTTTTCGCTGAAAAACTAGAATCCCCGGATTTTTTTATGGATCAATCATTAACACTAATTACTTATTTACCTATACTCAAACTATCTAGCAACTAATTTTTTTTATTGGTAATGCATTACAATAGATACAGTAATTTTTAAAATTTGCGTTATCTTTTTAGCAAGCTGTATACTTCAAAATATTTTGTTCAAGAATTTTAAAATTAGGGTTGTTATTTTACATTACCGAGGAACTGACTTTAAAATGTGTTAATTGTTTCTTCATGCTTGGGAGCCTCTTTTCTGCATCAGATAAATCCTTGAATTTTCTTTTATTCCTCTCTTCTAAAATCATATCCGCTTTTCTTTCACCGATTTGATCTATGATCTGTAATTGTGCGCGACTTGCAGGATTGAGATCCGGAACATCTTCAGCATACATGTAGTGGGATACCACGCTATAATATAATTATATTATAGCGTGGTATCCCACTTGGACTAGGTTATAGTACCACGCTATAATCTAAATACCATACTATAATCTGAATACCACGTTATATTCTAGATACCACACTATAATCTAAATACTACACTAAAATCTAAATATCACACTATAACCTAAATATCATGCTATAATCTAAT